ATCTATGATTTCCTAAAATACTTTAAGAAATTGACATTTATTCAAAAAAGTGCATATACGTGTCTGTAAGTTGACAATGTTGATAATATGGGCTTGATTCGGTCTTCCATTTATAGAGATTTTCACTATTTGATAAAATGCAACTTATCAATTTCTATCTTAACATTTAATGTTTATTCAGTTCTAAATGTTGGTGTATAAATTTAAACATAAATTGGGAACACTAATTTATTTGTTCGGAGAAATTTCATGTTGAGGTATTGGTATAACTTTGCTTAAAATTATCAATTTCAATATTTTCTTTTTATATATCTATAAATGAGCTATTATATTTGACATTTGGTTTGAAGGATTCTTTCATAGCTTAAGCTTTTAACCATGAGGTTGGTTTTTTTTTGACAATCGAAATTTCTGATATCCTATTTTGGTGCTTCGCAGTTGTTTGAATATTTTTTTTTTTGTATGCTATTTTCCCATTGTCGTCGATAATATCGTTTAGATAAATGAAATCACTGTGTATCCAATTATGCATAGTAAGCGCCTTGTTTTGAAATTTGGTAAATGTGTTACTCCAGATTAATAGCTTTCTTATCTCGACAAAGTGTTTTTTGCATGAATTAGAATCCAATTTTGTGTTACATCTCAGTAAAAATGGAAATATCTTTAGTTATATCTAGTTTTTTTAAAAGTTTGATTGTTTAAGTTCATTCTGAAATAAGGAAGTTTTCTCCTAATTCTTAGAACAATAGTTTTGGGATCAATGCCCAATTATCTTGTTTTGCTTGCAGTAAAAGAGACCCGTCTCATCTGAAGAGAGTAGAAATAGCTTTTAATAATGGTTATTTTTAGGCGTCCCTAGTATCTCAATTTTATTTTTCACAATTATTTTCATTAATGCTTTAATATATTTCTAGCACTTATACGGGTTTATCTATGAATTTTATTTCATCTACTTTTAGCTCTACAATGTTTGAGTTTACCATTCCAAATTCCCTCTGTTTTTTTTATTCAGTTGTAGTCCGGAAAGAAGTACCAAACATTTTGATTATATCTAATATTGTTCAGATTTTTTCTTTTAACTTTAAGAAGAGAGTTGTGTGATCAACGAATTGCAAAAGGAGTAGGTTCGATAAGGCCCAAAAATGGCCTCCTTTTTTTAGCTTAAATTATAAATTAGGATTTATCGACCAATATCACAGTGAATCATAGCTAATACAGTGACTAGATAGAAAATAAGCCTTTTTGTTGAGAATTTACGTTCCTGCGTATTATTCATGACGTAAAAAATAGTACTCATTTTTATTTTCCACGAAAAAATCAATGAAAATGGGTAAATTTGCATTGGTTATTAGACAGGAAACATAGAGCGCATACGTCGACAAAAAGATCTTTTAAAACAATGTTTTTAAAAACATTTTACATGTCTAACTTGAATATTTAGTTTGTCGACGCCTGCGCTATATGTTTCCTGGTCCTAAATTTGGTTGAAATCTTGCCGATTTTGTCAAATTTGGCCAAAATCTCTTATCTTGACCTATTTGGGATGTAAAAGTAAAAATCAACGCTTTAGAATAAAACTTTGACACAAATAGTTCTATTTAACTTTCTCACATGTCTTTAAGTCAACTTAAAACATTTTTTATCTCTTAAAATTGAACTTTATAATCGGGGCCAAATATGGCCCTTACCGAACTTACTCCTTTCAAACTATATGTTTTATTATCAATTTTGAATTCTATGCCTCTCATATTTTTGTTTATTCTTAGTTGGTTAGCCATTATTTCTACTGACATTACAGAAAAAGCACGGGCATCCCTGCCAGATACCCCCAAGGTGTCCGGAAAAGACCGATATCCACCCGTTATTAAATTTAGAGCTATTGATATTTGAATACAAGGTTCTTATCAAATTTATGAAGGGTTTATTAAAACCCAAAAATTCTAAAGTACGATGCTTAAAATGCCATTTTAATGTGTCGAAAGCTTCGAAAAATCTATGAATAAAATAGCACCTTCTATTTTAAACTCATCTGCGTAATCTGTTACGTCTTTTATTTGGCGTAGATTAAATCCTATGAATCTTTTTTTATGTACCCTAAAGCATTAATGATTAGATATAGAATTTTGTTTATTCTTAAAGTGAATGAAAGTATTTCATAATCACTACTTAATAATGTTATTGGTCAGTAATTTGCAAGTTCCAATGGACCATTTTTCTTATAAATTAGATTCAGTAAACTTTGTCGTTGCGACAATAGCAGTTGTTTTAACGCTAAGGAGTAAAAGTTTTAAAAGTAGAGAGCCAATAGGGCCTTAAGATTGTTTATAAAAGTTAATGCTTATCCCGCTCATTCCTGGACTTTTGTAAGGTTTTAGATTATTTACAGCAGTTCGTCCGACGTGATTTATCCATGATTTACTTTCCTCTTCTGATAGTTTATAATTAACTTTTGTTTTAGTATTGTATTTTTGAACATCTATACCCGGTTTTTGTTTTTTGTTTAGTGTCGTATAAATTAGTATAAAAATCCCTTTCAATTTTTTTTCATATTTCATCCTGATTTGTTACTATTTAGTCGTTATTATTGTTCAATTTTATTATTGTCTTTTTGTTTGTTTAGATGTTTCAAGACTTAGGAAATACGCGTTCTTTTTTATCTCTATTTCTACCCATTCTTGTTTTGTTCTTATCTGTGCTCCTTTAGCTGTGCATTCATGTTGGTTTTCTAGTTTTTTTTAATAATCTTTATTTATAATGTGGATATTGTTTTCTTTTATAAAATCATTTTCCTCATTGTTTGATTTCTCATATGTTTTTAGTTGTGATTCTAATTCACGTGTTGTATTTTTTTTTCTATTTTTGGCGATAATTTTACTAAACTAAGTACCATATTCCTTTATTTCTTATTTGAGGGAGTCCAAAAAAAGTCCTGAATCAATTAATTTTTTTTTTTCGATCTTTTTACTATGTTTTTGTATTATTTTACCTATATTGTACTCGTATTCATCTCTTTCTCGTCAAGAATACCGTTATCAACTTTTCAGTATCCTAGGCCTCTAGTTTCAGATGAGACGGATTGTAATTGTATGGAACTGCTTGATGGTCGGTGCTTTTAGTACGAATAGGTCTTATGTTACACGACTTAACTATAAAAACTACATCTGTTTTGATACGAAAAAAAAAACATGTCAATTCGACTACACTGGACTAGATTGTTTCGTCTCCAAGTATGTTATATCTTTTAGGGTTTAAGTGTCTCCATATATCTTTCAAGTCGTTTGATTTAATTAAATATGTTTAGGTTATTGGCTGGTATGCTTACATTTTTTTACGAATAGTAGAATTGTTTCTATCTTCATTTTTAAGGGCAGCATTCATGTTTCCTCCTAAAACAATTGTACCTATGGCATTTTTGTTTATATAATCATTTAATGTTTTGAAAAAAGATATTTCGTTAGGATTCTATATTCGGAGCATATATGTTTACAAGAAAAAAATTATATTTTCAGATTCGATATTTATCATGAATATTCGAATTTTTAATCTTCATGCTCATCTTCTAATGTATAGTCATTTTTTTCATTATTTAATATAGCTACCCCTCTGCTTGAAGTTTTTCTATAACTATGATCACATAAATGATCTGATTTAATAGTTAGAAAAAATGAAAATAAAAAAAATACTGAACTCCGAGGAAAATTCAAAAAGGAAAGTCCCTAATTAAATGGCAAAATCAAAAGCTCAAACAAATCAAACGAATAGATAACAACTGTCTTATCCTGACTTGGTACAGGCATTTTCTTATGTAGAAAATAGTGCATTGAACCTGGTTTTATAGCTAGCTAAACCTCTAACTTGTAGAACGCTTTCTGAAGATGTTTTGAAGGGATTTCTGGAATGAAAGATGTTTTACGTTTCTGATTGTTTATCCATTGGTAAAATCTCGTTCTCATTTGTTTAACGAAAGGTCCCTTAACATGTGTTGTATAAATGTGTAGATTATTCAACATGCTTAAATCAAAAAGAAGTTGATCTTTATGTTACTTTTAACTATTGTATCTTCTTTATATTTAATTTGCGTTTTTAAAGTACACTTAATTCACCAACATTAAATCGTTGCTTTTTCAACATGGGAGTTTCCTATGAAAATTATTATGCTTTTTAATTTACTTTTTGCATCAATTTTTTTCAGTTGATTTATCATTTGTAGCTTTCAATTTCATGTGCCCGATATGGCACCATTGCCTAGTAGTAGCATTAAAAAATATATATATTAATATGTGGTGCTTCACAATACTATTATTACAAGTTAAAAATACTAGAAGATAAAACAAAATTCTAATAAAATCATATTGACGTTAACTATGATTTTCGTTTTTTGTTTGAGATATTTACTATAGGTCAATTAAATTATTCATCAGATTCCTTTTAATATCATTTTATAGAAATCTGTAAATTATAGATAACAACATTGACGATTATTTATGGAGCGAGAAACTACGAATGTTGTTTTAATAAAAAGGAAACACATAGGTTCCTACTTTATATTATATCGCCATATACAAAGTGCCCAAGTATGAAAAGCTTTTGCATTAACTTAGACAAAGCATAACATCGGAGTACCATTGTTTAAAAAATCTTCAAATATAGATGACTCTAATATATATCACATCGTCATTGCAAACAGAAAATGTATGCAGTCAAATGAATAAAATTTTGATTTTTGTTTTACATATTGTTCATCTGTGCAGCTAGTTAATGAATGGTCAATTTTATTAAAGGCTGCACAAAAACGTAGTTAAATTGTACTCACTAATATCATGGTAATACGTGCACATTTGCACAATGCAGACAAGAAAGACTTTTTTTTAATAGATCTGAAAATCTTTTTTAAAATGGAATTTTTTTCTGTATTCATTTAAACTTAATTATAATAGTATCAGTTTTAATGACTAAAATAAAGTAATGTATTCTTAGATATTGTTAAGAAGAAAGCTTACCTTAGTATAAATTAAAATGAAATGCAAATATTTTTCTACAACATAATTTGAAAAACATGGAGTATGATATTTCCCTTTTGCAAAATCATGAACCGAAAAACCTCGAATGAACAAAATAGTCAACATGTGTTGTTGTGAGTTAAACAAACATGCATTGTTGATTATTTGTGTAATCCTTGACACATGCCCATTCTGTTCAATCTCATTAAAATGTATCATTGATAATATAAATTAAATGCTATGTATAATCAATAAAGATTATATACATTTTTCAACTCGTTCAGTATTCAAGAGTTTGCAGCTGCTACTCAGACCTTATTAAACGTCACCAGTGTCTGAGCAGATATTTGATGACCCAAGGTGATGTCAAAAGAACGTCTCGTCCTTTTTTTCCAAAAAAAAAATAGTTGATTGTAAGATACCAATACCTTGTTGATAAATATTCCGGATCAACTTCACAAATAATGCATTATGATATTGAAGTATAGATGTTAGGTACTGACGTTATTTATCATCTTAATTACGTGTTATAGTGGGATTTTTTTATTGTCCTTGTACATTTTAACCTTTACTGTTTAGTCCATTTTTTGGTAATATACTTTTGGCATGGCTCGGTACTTACACATCCCGCCACATTGTGTTATTGTGCTATGATCAATTTTATATTCTTGTCTTCCATTTTTGCTTATGTATTTTGTCTACAGAGTGTCTATATGCCATTTTGATCTTTGCTGAATTACTTATTTGTTTTATTAGTGATTAAGTTTATACTACAATGTTGATTGCTGTACCCATGATTTTTAAAAACTTTACCTATTATGTCAGTTTGTTTTGCTCACACATTGTTGTCAATATAATGGAATTCTATGCGTTTGTCATACACGTGCGAGGTTAAGCTACAGCCCTTGGATGGTGTAGACTTCCCAAAATAACGTGTATGGTGTAATGGTGTATGACAGATGGTGCAATGGTAGAAGTTGTATGGTGCTATGGTGTATGGTGTAAGGGGAATGGTGTAATGGTGTATGAGGAATGGTGTGATTGTGTAACGTGCGATCGGGAATGGTGTGAATGAATGGTATACGACATTTCATTGGTTGAAACTGAAGTTCATTTTATTTTAATTTTTCGGATTGTAAACATAAACAATAATAATAATCCTATTGTTCTTTTTTCCCAGTAAAGCAAATTACTTTACTCGTTAGACTCTATGTTAAATATATTATATACACATATTAAAAAATCTTTTTTTTTTCATATTCTTATTTACATTAAACAATGGCTTTAAAATTACACACTTGTGATCACATGCAGTTATCATAAAAGAAAGGATTTTATTTAAACTAGAAGGCGGATAGAACGGTTATCCACGCATCGGAACAGTATTTTTATATCATGGGTTATCAACATCATTTTTAAACATGTTAAAGTTGCTTCGTTCCCCATTTTTGACAGTCTCTTTATAAACATTTTATCGTCATTCACCTTTGTTTGCCTTGGACTTACGATTCTGTTTTCCAAAAAACGGATGTTCAAAGGAAAATTGTACAGTGTTATTGTACATAAGGTGTTGTATAATTATGAACAATCTCGTCAATTTCGTTAGATTTGTCTTTACGGATTATAAATGATATTTTGAACGTCCGAAAAATTATACTTATGTGAACGGGAATGAAATATTTGCCACTTGATATTTAGCCGCCAACAAAATCAACAAACCGACATAATATACTAACAGTTTACTTTTCTAGAAGAGAACTTCTCATACTTTTCATTATAAAGTACAAATGAAATCTGTCATGTCAGTCACAGTGTTGGATGATGAGGTGGAATAGTTTTATGAAACAAACCCTGCTTTCATGAACTGAATAACCAAGAATTAACATGAATATTTATCTACAGAATATTCGTGAACGTGAAAAAGGATGTCCATGAATATTGAATACTGGAATACGTCTCTAGGATAACCATTACTGTGAAATAAGATGTCCGTGAATATTGAATGATGTAATATTCTAGAATAACCATGAATGTGAAATATCCATGAATATTGAATGGTTGAATATTCTAGAATAACCATGAATGTGAAATAATTATTCCATTAATATTTTAGAACAAGAATGAATGTGAAATATCCATGAATATTCTAGAACAACTATGAATGTGAAATATCCATGAATATTCTAGAATAACCATGAATGTGAAATAGGTGTTCTTGAATATTGAATGTAGGAATATAATACAAATATGAGGGGCAGAAGGTCTTTAAGGGGCTTTTATTTTTGCGGGAATTCAGGATTTGACCTTTATATTTATTTTGCGAAAATGGGTCAGGATATCACAAGATATCCCCAGGATATCTCAGGATTATCTTGAGAAAAATCCCAGGGCAATCTTGAGATATCCTCATCCTGAGATAGGGTTAAAAATGGGACGGTATTGGAACAAGGATATTCCAGGGATATCCAGATACCATCCAGACCATAAATATCATAGTAAAGAATCCTGTGATAATCCTGTGCTTAGGTTTCATCAGGTCCTGGTCTCAGGAAATTATCCTGATGTCAGGATTTACAGATTTGCTTTCATTGAGTTGGCCCTGGGATAATCCTGGTATATTCTGTGAATATCATGAGAATGTCCTTAGTTCAGGACCAATAATGTCTTGTATGTAATCTATAAGAAATTATAAAAATATGAGTAAAATCCTTTTTTAATGCACACATTTGTTCTTTTGCAAATATTTTCTGTTATTAGATTAAATGATCCATATTCCTCATTATAAGGTAGATGATTGCCCTTGTATTAAATCTGTCAGGTATATATGAACATTGGGGTATGAATTACATTAGCTAATCAATTTATTGGAGCAAGATGTATTGTTATAAGTATAAATGAGTATCTGTAGTGGCCATGTTTAATAGCTTATTTCAATGGCTGTCAAGTTCCCATTAAAAACAAATGCCTTGTATTTCATGATTCTTAAACTTCCATCAAAATTATATACTTAAGTACTACTACATGTAGCAAACTTGTTGGCCATTTTTAATGGCTGCTTATTTTGTTAAATTACCAATAAAAATGGTACCCACCCCCCACTCCCTCCTCCCCCATGTTCACGCTGCTTATATTGTTTAATTACCAATAAAAAATGTACCCACCTCCACTCCCTCCTCCCCCATGTTCACTAACACCTTCAAGCATTTCATTGTCTTAATTGTATTTGGATACTCATTGATTGTTCAGCATGGCTTAATGATGCTCGCTGTTCAGTTTCAAATATTATAATATTCAATATTATAATATTAAAATTATGTGTCAGATATATAAAAGGATACATGTAAAACTCTCCTTCTTTATGTAATAAAATTTGCTCTCTCTGTTCTTCCAACTAGTATTGCTGAATAAAGGTAATTGGAATCTGCATGGAATCTGTTTAATATCAAAATTGACAGCTCCATTTAATCATTCAATCCCCTAAAAGTATCAAACAAATCCACAAAGAATTAATTGTTCAAGACGTTTTGAAGCAATAAATTTAAAAGAAATAACATTGTATGTTTATACAGTACATTGGAAGCCATTTGGAATCAAATTAATTCAAAAACCCTCCCCCTTTTTATCCCCTGAAAATAAATAAACAGCTGCGCCATGAGCTCATGATACGCCCGTCGCTTTTTCAAAGAACAAAGTTCAATAACTTCTCAATGTCATATCAGAATTTATAAAAAAACCTAAAGCTGATGGGAAGTTATTTTAATAGATATAAACCAGTCACCAAAGTTTCATGAAAACTGCTCAAAGCACTTTGTTATTTTCGAAAACTGGAAAATCACCCCTTTTTTTACGAACAAAACCTCATAACTCAGAAGCGTAAAATCTAAAATTTATAAAAACGGAAAGGGAGCTTACATTAATAGATATAAACAATTCACCAAAGTTTCATGAAAACTGCTCAAAGCATTTTTGAGTTATTGTCCGAAAACTGGAAAATCCCCCGTTTTGTAATGAATAAAACCTCATAACTTGGAAACGTAAAATCTAAATTTCATAAAAATTGAAAGGGAGCTCACATCAATAGATATAAAAATTCACCAAAGTTTCTAGCAAATTGGTGAAATTGTTTTTGAGTTATTGTCCAAAAACTGGAAAATCCCCCCTTTTTTATAGAATAAAACCCCATAACTCGGAAACGTATAATCTAAAATTTATAAAAATCGAAAGGGAGCTCACGTCAATAGATATATACAATTCACCAAAGTTTCATGCAAATTGGTTAAAGCTGTTTTGAGTTACTTTCCGACATGTTGACGACGGACGGACGGACGGACAATGGTATACAATAATACGTCCAGTAAACGGGCGTATAAAAATTAGCGACTTATTATTTTCACCAAAGAACCATTCACACAATTCAATTAAATTTTTACAAGTTATACCTGTTATGTGACAACAATTATTCATTGCTAAGTTAAAAATAAATATATTTTCAGTTTATATGCTTTCAGACTTTCTGATGTTGTTTTGCTCAGCCTCAAATAAAAACCATAAAAAAATCATTTTATAATCATTATATACACATGTTAAATTAAATTTGTAATGCACTTATTTGAAAACATCTTCATCGGGTTTCCATCAGCGTAATCACATTTTGGTGACGTATTTATCAAGTACACGTACGCTCACGTCGAGGTGACAATCTCGCCCCATATTATATCGGCAAGAAGTTGCTCCGTCCCCGTAACGGTATTATAAAAATAAATCAAGGGTGTCGCATACAAATATTTATTACTGGGCAGTTTTTAAATATAAAAAAACTCTTTAATTTAATCGGAACAGGGTTCATGCGAATGAACAAGTGGCCGCATTATCTAAGGCGGTATTTTTGTAGGGTCGAGCTGTTCAGTACAATTACAAAAAACCACGTGGTCATGACTTGTTTACAATTTCATACGTTGAGAAACCAACGCGTTTTACGATGTCTGTCGTTGGCCTATCATTGATCTGATAATTTTCTAAGTTATTTATATGCCGGACGACAATTAATAGAAAGGCACATATGTGAACTCGGAGAAAATCAGA